CCATGTAACTTTTTTAGCACAGCCAACTACAGCTATGCCCCTGTTGCTACACCACCACCTCCCCTCTGAATTGCTAGCATTTCCTTCTACCTCACTGGTGACTACTCTGGGGATACAAGTGGCTAAAGTTATTTCTGATATCCCTTGCTTACTTTAAGGACTTGCTTACTTTAAGCTTAACTAAGAACTCCAAGGAGTAAAGGAGACTAGAAGCACAATCACAAAATGCATGCAACTAAGACACTGTCCTAGTCTAGAATTTAGATTCTCAAAATTCCTGCTGGTATTTTGCATCACAAAGTCACGATGTGAGGCAATAGCAATTAGAAAGTGCTGTATCCAAGGCCTTTTGGGATTCATGAATTAAACCTTCCACACCTAAGGAGTGTGACTCAGTAGGCATCTTCATGTTTAGCAGACAGGACTCCACACAGTACAAAGGAGATTCTGGGGATGAGAGGAAAGTGAGCAGGGCTCTCATCCTTACTGTGTCATCTGTTAAAAAACAGCATGGTATTTATGTGAAGGTCATTATCTCTATATATCAATAAATTAACTCGTAGAATAAATAATTAAAGTAGAAAAATTTAACCAGAAGTGACTTCAGAGCGACCATACAAGTCACTACTGTAGGAGAGTTTGGCTCAGGTCAACTAAGTGAAAGGAGAGAGCAGAAACTGAGTTGCTTTGCTGCTTCATGAGTCCTTCACCTACTGAGCAATTTACATACATTAATTGCTGCAGCATATCCTCTTCAATTTATCAAAAAGAGGCTGATTTCAGACAAGGCTTGCAAGAAAGGGTACAAATCCAAGGTGAGGAAAGAAATTTCGTCCCACCGAAAGGGGAAAAGAACCATGTCCACATGTCCATTTACGAACTAGTAAATTAAGCAGAACCCTCCTCATTACGTTGTTTTTGTGGGTCCCATCTTTCTTCATATGTTAAACGTACAGTTTGGATGTTATGAACTCTGCTAGTCATTAGGGTACAAGACTCAGGAGCTGTAACCAGCAAATACAAAAAAAAACCCCTTTGTGGAGCTGCTCATGAAGATACTGGAAATGACTGTGCTGAAGTGGACTGTGACTAAAACACGCAGCCTGAACCCGCCCTACAAAACCTGTTTCCTATCCGCCCTTCCTAGACCCACTGCTTCTTAGAAGTGTGCTCCCTGCCTCTCTTCTCCATTCACCACTGCTTGCAAGAGGAGGCTGGCCAAAAGAAGACATCTCGAACCACAGACCCTGAGGGGTCAGTAGCTGGGGACACTTATATATGTTTACAAAAATAGTACAGCTACAGACCAGCTCTGAAGGCAACAGTCCCAGCAGTACAGAGTTATTACACAAAAAAATGAAGAGTCAAACTCTTTCCACGCCACCACAGAGATGTATTATTAACAATTATATGCAATGAAAACACAACCTGCACAACTCTACCCTTACAATTAAATTTTTAATTTTGTCTTTCTAAGCTGGATGAAAGAGACACGTTTTTAAAAAATTTGTACAACTGGCATCAGAATTCTTAACATGCTAGAAAGAATTGAGCCAAAGATGATATCACAAAGTCCCTTATGCTTAAGGGAAAATGTTAAATCAATTAGCAGTTGCCAGAATAAAGAAGCAACAATTTGACGTATAAGTTCCTTTAAAAAATAACACACTTTTCATGTTCTTCTGAAAGTGGTTATATTATGCAACAAGAAAACTCCACCATATTCTCAGCTCTTTAATGTTACAAAAGCTTTATTAGCATATGTTTCAGAAATTATAATCAAAGGGTAGTAGTCACCAGCCAGAACTTTGAAGAGTTTATAAACATACATGTACAGACTATGCCTTAGAGGGTTAATGTACTATTTTGAACTCAACTATTGCAATAGGACTTAGCTTTGACACAGAATGTTCACACCCTCTGTAATAAATTCTTTTCACATACTTCATATTTCTTCCCATGTGAATGAGTGTCCTTGGAAGAATTATCTACTAGATAAAAGTTGGAGATGAAATCTAAGTCTAGACTTATTAAGGGGGGTAGAGACTGATCTTATAATCTACGACAGTTGTTGATTAATGAGCTGCTCCTGATTGCTGTAGGCCTCCCCAAACTGCAGGAGCAAATGATACTATGGTACTGGGAGGAATGTGCTATCTGGATGCCACACCTTTGTTGAAACTTAAGAACTCCCTGTGACTCCTGCTACATTTATTCTAGCCTTGAACTACCACGTGTACCCGACGAGATACACGGTGACACACATACATCCCCCTCGCCACTTGACTGCTGCTTTTGTGGCAGAGTTTCTGTGCTAAGAGAACACCTTACGGCGAGTACAGAGCCACTCATAGCATACATGCTGTGTGGGGCCGAGTGTTCTGCTCCTAGGGCTCCTGCACAAACAAATTCAAAGCTTCCTGGAGCAGAAGAGTGGCATCACATCCTGAGGGCATCTGGTCTTGCCCGACAGTCTGGATAATTTTATTTATATGTACACATATGCATATGCACATCCACATGCATATGCATGCACATGACATGTCAGTACACACATGCATATATTATAGGGCATAACAAGTGCACTGTGAAAACACAGCACATTCTGCTTAACTAAACAAACTTCTGCTGAGCTCTGTTCCAAGGCTGAAACTGAACACAATTTAAATCTATAATAAAAGGGTGCATTACCTAATATTTAGTGATCACACGGCAATCTCTGATTATGTATTTCAAAGACCTTTCAGGAAAAGTTTTTAAACTTTAATAACTTTGCTTGCAAAACGCCAGTGTTCTTAAGGTGAAAACAACCCATACAAACTCTTCAAAGTATTCCCTGCACACTCATGTCTGAGCTTCAGACTCAGAGGAAAGAAAAACCTACAGAAAAATAAAAGGGCACAAACAGAAAAACTAGCTCCTGTAGTATGCAAGAGGAATTTCATTACCTTTGCTGAACACAACTCTTCTTTTGGTTTATCTACTTGCAATTATCCTTTTTCTCATTTCTGGAGATAGTTCTAAAAGTGTGCAGAAAAAGAACATCTTAAAATAACCACATCATCACGAACATTATCACCTCGACTACACTGACTGTATCAGCCTCAGTAGACAATGCAGCCCTGTAGCTTTTCAGCACTGTCACAAGGTACAAGAACAAGGCTAAAATTCCACAAATGAGACAGGAAAGCACATCTTGTTCCATGCACACCACACAAAAGAAAAATGATTTTCAAGCAAATCTTTCAAAATTGTAAATAAATCCTCTGTCTAATCTCAGCAGACACCTTTTCAGGGATTTGCTTGCATGGAAAAGGAATGAAATAAAAATCGTGTGTTGATAAATTAAGATCTTTCAATTACTCTTTTCCCTTGGGTTTGGTACGTGAAGTGACACCAGTATCAAACATTTTACTTCACTCCCTAGGTCTCCCGAAACCAGACTCCAAGTAGCACGATATTCTGCCCTCTCCCATGTCGTTCTCTTCAACAAATCTGACTATGATTAAATGAATCAAAGAGCAATGACTGAGTAAAATACTAAACAGCTGAGAATGATACATCCTGACGTTTACTATTCTGAATGCAGCTGGTTAAAAGTAGTTTCTAGAAAGGCATTTATATGAACCTTGGTGTAAGACTATGAGTAACTCCACACAGACTGACAGAATTTCAGCAACAGCGGCTCTGCAAATGTTACAGAAATGTTCCACAGAACAACATCTCCAAGAGCTCTCAACTCTGTCATTACATAGCCTTAGAATAAATAAAACACCTTTTTTCTTTTTTTTTTTTCCACTGTTGAGACATTATCAGCTGAAGGTAACGGACCTACTTATGTGATAACTTTTCAATATCCAACTCAGCGAAGTGTAGAAGAACTCACTATCCACTTGAGCTCAGCAGAAGCAGGAGAAAAAGATGGTTCTGTGTAAGGACCATGACACAGCCTTTCAGGAAACCAGTGGGGACCAGGGCTCACTCACCCATGGAGTGGATTTAAAGTGGAGAAAAGCACGACTTTACCAGGAACTGAAAGCATCGAGCGTAAGTCCTTGAAGAATGATTTCCCTTTCATATGGAAAAGTCAGCCCTTATAAGAGCATTTCTCTTACAAATCACCCTTTTGTGCAAGCAGAGTTCTAATATTGCTATTAATCATGAGCACTGAAGCCATCATAACACGTCACTTAGAGATAGTGATTAACACATCTTTTGCTAAAATATTGTTCCTTCAGAACTATTTCAACATCACTCCAAAGTACCTTTAAAAATTGTCCTACTGACATTCACTTTGTAATAATATTCAAACTCTTGACTTCAAAGCTGGGACTCAAATTGCTATGATATGACTCTATCTTCTCCTGAGAAAAGGAATGGACAGACCACTGCGACAGCAAAATTACTTTCTGAGATCAAAACTACTAGTTAAAGGCATGAATCTACAGTCTTATGCCACAGTATTTAAGGTGATTAGATGTTTTTAAATAAATGTTCACAGAAGGTACTTAACTAGTGCTTGTTGGAAAAAGGCAACTCAACAGCCACACTGTATATCAAAGTTATGAAACAAAAATCCATCAGCACAGACTTAATATTTTTTTTCCTATTAACATAATTATTTCCTAGTCAGTAAAAATGAAAATGACATGTTAGCATTTCAAAAACAGGAGAAAATGACCCTCTAGGCTTTATATGACTATCAAAACAAGCACCAGTACTTTATTTGCAAATTATTGTGCATGAAATGATCGACTCAGCAAGTTTACCAGTCAACAAAGTGTGAGCTCTACCAGTTGTAATCAATTTACATGTAATGGTATGTCTAAATATGAATGTAAATGAGTTCTTGTCATTTCACGTTGATGAGCTGCTTTATCATCACAGATATGGACAGGGACCACAGCTAATGTTGCAGAAACGGCAAAGCATTCACAAGTTTCATGAGCCAATGGTATCCAAACACAAATAAATTTGTTTTCATATAAAAAGACAGCCTCCAACTGCTAAGCCATGTTTATTTTCCAGTCAAGTTAACAAAAATACTTTCTACGAGGTTATTTCCAGACATTTGCTGTATATGCCACGTCCACTGCAAATACACAGCATGAACCACAACAGTTTTCTCACCTCGTAACCCACAGCATTTCTCTTTCAATATATGAAAAGAATTCTGAGGCCACCACAGAATAAAGAACATTTCAATATCATCCCTCTCGTATATAAATATACATTCCTAGAACCTGCAAAAGGAATATTCTGCAGATTAAGATAATTCTAGTTTCTTCAACAGTGCATTAGTCACATCCCTCCACAACCATCTTCAATACAATCATCAAAAAATCAAAATAACTGGGTCAAGTGGAATAAAGTTCCTTCACAGCTGACAGTGCTGATCAGATGATACGTTGGAAGAATGCAAGACAAAGACAGGTTTAACATACAAGAATGTATAATTAATGGCTGGCCTCGAAAATGTTTCATTTAATACAGTGAAATTAATATAATGGCAATGACTTAATCAAAAGGACACCATTATGTGCTGAAGTGAATTTCATTTTACTAAGGATAGTGTAAATAGATAAATTAAGCTTAACATTTTCCAAACAATAATCCTTTTCATTTCCCTTAGCTTTATTAACAGTACATATTCAGGTAGAATACTCAAATATAATTTTTACTGATATACAGAATCATTTAAATGCATATTTGGTACAATTTCTTATTTTTGGTGTTCAGTAGTTGCTCTTGCTTGATAAAATGGTACAGCAGATTTATGCTTCACATCACATTTAGGTTTTGCCTACGTAAAGAATTTACAGAGCTTTGTTCAGTTGTGGAATGGTATGTTTCATACACGCAAAAATGTCGAAAATGCTGCATGAACCTGTGGCCTTGCCAATACACAGATCAAAACCATGAGAAACTGTAATGAGCGTGAGTTGACACACATTCAAAATGTTGTAACATCTGTATGATTTGCTGTTACTTTGGTGGCTGTGATATTCCAGGTGCAGATGCAAAGTGCACCTTAATGGTCCTCATAGAAGTACATTTATCCCCCTGTATTTTAAAGGCATCAGATTCTTTTATTCTCCCTTGTAGCGAGGAGGTCTCTTCTCCTTAAACGCAAGAAGACCTTCAATTCTATCTTTTGTTGGAATAGTCTGCAATGAGCAGAGTAACACTTCATTATTGACACCAAAAACAATACCAAGGAAAATATTACCATGCAAGTCCTTGTTTTTCAACATATCCAAGATGCAACATACAATACAACAGAAAAATTAAAACCTATCTAGTCAGAGACAGGAAAGCACCAGACACATCAAAGGCATGACATATGGACGTGAAACAACTTGAGAGAAGGACTACCTTTTCTCCAAACAGATCTCTGTTAGAAACTCTTTAGGGTTTGTTTTTGATGTTTTGGTGGTAGGCTTTTTGTTTTGATTTTTGTTTGGTTGGTTGTTTTGTTGTTTTGGGGGTTTTTCGGGGGGGGGGGAGGGGAAGGAGGCTATTAATCAGATCACCATATGTCTTATGCGAGCATCTAAGGCTGATGCTTCTATTTCCATCATCAAAAACTTGCCTCAAAGCCCAAGAACATGCAGCCTCAAACACATCATTCCCATGTTTCACAGGCAAAGAAGTTTGCCTCAATTTTCTGTTGGTTAGCACAGATGCCATTAGGGGCACGTTAATGAGCTGCCCTTCACGTTATTTCATGTCAAACCAACACAAAGCAAAAGGAAGGCAGTTCTTGGACCAAACACATGGTAATGTTTGTGGAATGGAATGGTAGTTCCTCGCTACCTTCACCCTAACAGTCCTGGCAGGACATGTTATTGTCCTGAACTGCATCTCCTTCCTTAAATACCTTACAAAATCAGAATAAGTAGATGGAAAGTCTCAACACAATGCCAGAAAGTTTGCAGACAAAATCATAGAGCAATTCCTAGTTGAATTTCCACGTTTCATAACAGGCACCAACAAACCCTATTTTCTGTGGTTTTTTTTTTTTTTGTGTAATAATATTTACATACCTGAGCATAACAAGCTTCTTCAATTGCTAAACCTGTTACTAAGTCGACCTGAGGAAAAGAATACAATGTTTTTTAAAGGCATACTTTTTATATTTATTATATACTATCTCCAGACACCTCACAAAAATACTGTGTTTCTACATGCCACATACTATAACACTTCTGCAAAGTTCTTCTACCCTACTTTAATGCAGAAATGCTACACTGACATGTGGTGACAGTGGTTAGTATTTCTCTAACAGCTTCCCCGTTTGGCAATACAATTAGTATGTAATACACTCAAAAAATGTATGCTCTTTGCTACAAATCATCGGGGTAGGTAACAACCGTTGGCTGCCTGCACATTTCTAATAATTTCATTTACTACAGGGGAAAAGATGCACTGTGTGATTATTTAAAATCTGTTCTGAAATAAGTCATCTTCAAAATGTCATATAAAAACACGATGCCATGCCACGAAAAATATAAATTCAAGCTTAAAGGGATTCAAAATAGGGGGAAAAAGGAGGCCAAAGGCCATTCTGCATCATCATCTATTTTTAATACATTTATTTTCTTTGTGAGTTGGCCTGAACAGTTGAAAAAGCTGAATTTTGCCCTCACTGTTTCTCTGTCTGTCTTAAGCACGAGCTGCTGCAGAACTCACTAGTTCTCCAGCTGACCACTGGCAGGACTGTGGCTAGGCACCACAAGCAATTTTCGGGGGGAGATAAGCAATAGGATAGGTTACCAAAGGAAGCTGTGAAATCTGTGCTATCCAAGTTTTGTAACAATAGCTTGGATAAACATGTGCCTTGATTGGTTTTGATGCAGTAGATCTTTGTCTCGTGGCCTCAAGATTGAACTAGAGATGACCATTCAGAGTCTTTCTAATCCCAACGCCCATAATTCTATAAACATCATCACTTTGACCTTTCAGGCCACTACATCGGGTAGCCAGATAATTTATCTTTTTGCACTTTGAACCTTGGGTACCACTGAAATAAATCCTGGATTCCATCACTGCTTGCTATGGAAACCTAACAAACATCCTCTTTGCACAACAGCATCTGAGTTTGGTTCTCACGCCACAACTTAACGGGTGCAACTCAGTTATACTGCTGGTTGCTTTTGGGACTTTTAACAAAAAAAGGATCGCTTTTAAATTCGTCTTCTTGGATTCAGACGCTGCGTACAGTGTGAGCCCCTTTCCCTTTCACCAGGCTGAGCCATAGGGTGTTCTGCTGCAGAGATTAACTTCAAATATGGACAGTCCTGCTGAACTCAGCAAGAGGATCCATATGCCCAAAGTAAAACACATGTCCAGACATGTTCAGGAATGGATTTTAATGAGCTTTAGAGCCAGGTCAGACTTGACAGAGCGTAACTTTGATGGCTGTTTCCCACCCAGGATTTGAAATACAATTTGTTCATAGTAGTTTATGTTTAGTTTCTAGTATTAATAATTAGCAGGGTGCTCTACTCCTGAAAACAGGCATGAAGTAACTAAGTTTCGTTACAGAAACCAGCATCTAAGGAGTCTGAGACATAATAAAATTGCATTTCATCCTTTAGAAAGCTTTGAAAAAACATATTTTTTAAAGACTATACAGTCAGAAGCTAAAACAGTTCTAGAAAAAAATCACCATAGTAGAACTGATTTCTGCTTACTCTTATGGAAAGTACAGATCCTTACCTCCATTCCCTGATTGATAGCCAGTTTTGCAACTCTCATTGCTACTGGTCCCTAAAATGAAAGAAAAAGTTTATTCACATGTGATCAAAGCCAACAAGACTGGAGAGTCTGCACCAAAATGTTCTTATATGGGACTTAGACTTTGGGCTCTTGTTAAATTTACAGTAGTGGGTCAAATATCCTAGATTTCACCACTATCTTAGACATTTGCTTCCAAACTGATAGGCTGAATACTGACAAAAAGTAAAAGTACGGTATTTTCAAAAGAACCTAATTAAAGCATTGTGTTTGGTTTATGTTTCAGAGGTGCTGAGTGTGTCCACATTTGTCAGGCTTCGCCAATTCCCTTCCAAACAAGGCTCAGAAAGGCCACCTTAAGACTCATTTGGCAAGGTCAATCCTCTGTCCCTACTGTCACGCAGTGGAGACACACGAAGAGATGGGATAATGGAATAAAATCAACTGATGCAGCTTCAAACCTGAAGGACATTATTGCAAAGCCTGCACTAGTCAAGTGGAAACTCTTCCACGTGTGGACTGAGGTCCCCAGCGAGCAGAGAGGTTCCCACACTTGCCTCCAATGTGCTGCAAAACAGCAAGACATCTTTGGGAATCGCCTCAGTCCTGTGCCTATCCATCAGCTTTAATTCTGAAATTCCATTTACCTCTGTTTTCAAAACAGAAGTTACACTGAGACACATCCACTTCCATATGGACCTTTTTGCCTCTCTTCTGAACCGTTCAACAGCAACAGAATGACCTACTAAGACAACTGCTATGCTAAAAAATAAAACCTGTGCAAGTTGAAAGCCAAAACATACAATGAAAACACAGACCAGATCATGATGAGATGAGTATTGATAGGACTTTTTCTTCACTGTGAAATAATTACCAAATAACACCCCTCAAAACACAAAACAGAGAACTTCTGATTGCTTGCCACATAACTGGCGTGGCTCTTTAAAACATAACTTCACGTCAAGGATTTTTTTTTTTAATACATCTGTTTCTTTTTCAGTCTTAACGTTTGGTAAAAAGTAAAAACCAAGACCAAAATGACCTGCCATACCTGAGGTAAGAATTCTTTTGCCAGAGCTAATGCTCTTTTGTATGCAGCATCCCCTGCTTCATTCTGTTCCACCACGTGGCTAATCAATCCTATTGATTTTGCTTCCTCACCATCTACAACACGTGCAGAGAAGATTAGTTCTTTTGCCAGCGACACTCCAATTGTGCGAGGTAATCTCTGTGTCCCCCCTGGGGTTTGTAAAAAGAGAAAATTAAAGTATTAGTTTTCCCATTTATCTGCACCGCAAATGTAGCTGCGTTGTTCAGTTTAAGTGTTTTCATTTTAAATTCCACAAACAATTACACGAACATACAGGAATCAAATTAGTACAAAGTCATTACCAAATGCCTTCTTCAGTTTGGAAACTACACCTAAGTTGAAATCAATTGTCCTGTTTCTTAGAAAGACATGTAAATAACTGAAAAGAGGTTCTGTTCTATTACAGACAAGTTAACCTTAATCATATCAGGCAAAAGCTGAGTGAAAGCTACTTGCCAATAATCAGCATATCCAAGACCTCTGGATCTTTTCAACACTGTACATTTTTATGATATCAATCACCACTTTTGAAGAACTATACTTGAAAAAGAATATATACCTTAACAAGACTGTAGTCCACACTGAAATGTGGACGTTGGGGACAACATTTACATGTAAACTAAACTAAAACCACTACCAGAGAAGATCTCAAAGAAGCCATGGTTTTGTCTCTTCTTACTTCCATATTATGGTTGCAGTCTTAAAGCATGATTACAAAAACTAGGGAAGGACAATCAGCAGAGAAAGGCATCTAACATTAGTCAGCTGTTCTTAGTACATTAAAAAATTCTTTGGCATATCAGCATTTTCAGCAGGTCAATAAGCAGCAACCACATTAACCAGACATGAAGACTTTTTAGCTGGACTAACAATTAACTTTAAAGAACCAACAATGAGAATGTGGGATTAATCATTATCAAAATGGAAGATGTAGATTCAAAATCACAGAAGCAGATATTTGTATGAATTAAAACAGTGGAAATGGCCTTTCTCCAGGAGAAAGGTTTTTAAAATACACAAGGTCTACCATTTTGACATGGATCTGAAACAAACACTCAATTTATTCAAACAGTCTGTAAGTAAAAATGTCTTTCCAAAAGCTATTTCTGCAAGAGCATGCTAATATATTCAAATATAAATATATGTATTATATATGCAAGAGGAGTATTTATAGGAGTTGTTCAAAGGGAGGTGGTACAACACTGAATAAATGTGTGTTCAACTAGCAAGATATATTAATTTCCACTAGATAATGGTGGACTAAGACAGTATTTTATTGAAGCCATTCAATAAAATCATCTTAATGATATTTCCTGAATATACTTTAAATTCATTTCTGAGATAAATAAACTGACTGGAAACAAACAAAAAAGTTTTTGTGATTCAATGATTCAGCTTCCAATTACTGTTTTTCTATGAATCATGAGCTGCAGTATTACTGTATTCCCTTCCATAAAAACAGAATTGCCTTTGAACATATTATATCACAAAAAATTGTAGAAGGTTTGGAGGATTTCTGCCTTGTACCTTTCTAGAATATTACAAGGTCATTATCTATAGCGAAAACTGAGATATATTTTCTGGAGGAATTAAAAAAAAATTAAAAAAAAAATGCTTAAACTCATAACAATTAAAATAAAATTTGTAGTACAAAAATATTAGTAAATACAAAAATTGTGATACTCTCTATGATCCTACAATACCTGAGAGCATTAGAGCAAAACTGTCCTAATGGTCAAGGGCAACAGGCAACAGCAAGAGAAGTTCCTATTCCATAAATTCTGCTAATTCTGCTAGTTCTGCAGAGCTAAGGAAGAGGTAAAATTTTGCTAACAACACAATTTACAGAAAGCCCCGACTCTAGGGGCATTTTTCTGAAGGGAGCAGGGGATGCACACTAAAGCCCCTTGCCAAAAACAAACAAACAAAAAATGCTGTGAACCCTTAAGCATTAAGTCTTCCCATCAGCCTTGGCTGCCCCACTGCTGAGATTCATAGAGAATGACTAAAGCTGTATCTATCAAATTTATAACAGACCTACTTGCCATAAAAATGTGAGCTGTGTTTTCAAGAAACTCCCTGCCTCTGATACTGAGCTGTACCACCATCATCACAAACAAACATTTACTGGCTTTTTAACTTAAATATTGAAGACGTCTTATAATTTCTCACCCAAATGAGCTGTCACACCCTAATCAACATCTATTCTTATACACATTTTAAGCACACATCTGAACACAGCAAATGTCTATCCTTATTCTCCTTAAGAACACTGAAGTCAAAAGTTATTCCTTCCACCACAGCCATGGAATCTAGAAAAGCATCCGGTTTGGATTTTGATTACAGAAAACTGTTTGTCCAAATCATAAGACCTGAAACCATATGGGGCTGAATTTACTGACTCCGCATCTTCTGCTTCTTCTTTGCATGCTATGCCCAATATTTTTTCTAGTTAATTCTCTCCCCCTTCCTTTACTGTTTTATCTCTTCTATTACTGCTTTACCAGGAAATGCTGAAAACAAAATTTCATTGAGCAACAATATTTCATAACTTTGACCAAACAATGGATATGTTTAAGCATGAAAAAAACTGTTCTTGCCAGTGTCTTACACAATAATGATTAAAGAGCAAAAAAAGAAGACTATAGCTATTTGGCTGCCTCCTACACTGCAAAGCCATTAAGCAGAGGAGCATATTCTTTGATTAATATTCACAGAACAGAAGCCAACAGTTCACTGCATCTATCACATATATTCAGTAGCAGGGGTAAGATAGATGTACACACAAGAGCAGTGAGAGCAAATTAATCAAACGCAAACAACCCACTAAAACACACCCAACCCACCAAAGTTGCATCCATTTATGAAGACAGAGAGTACACCACAGATAGATGCTCTGTTTTGGTGATACAAGAAGAACGTATAATGCCTGCCAACTACAATCAGAGCTAGAGGAAGTAACACCCAGTCTTCAAAGACATTACTTAACCAAGGCATTTCATCTAAACGTAGAGCAGAATTTGATGGGAGAAGAGTTGTTTCATCTTCACAAATTTATTGACATGTTATTTCAAGGACGAGTGATCTGGTATTATTCACTGTGTTGATGAAAGTATTTAACACACAGTTGCAATGTAAATGTGTTCTTACCTGAAGTGGTTTATAGTCAATGTTGTAATAATTGTAAACACAGTTTTAGATGACACTTGTTCATGTGAAAAGAGTCAGTAAATACCAGATTGCTAAGTTCTGGTACAAAAACTGTTAAACAGTATTTTTTCAACAAATAGTTGATTTTGTATGAATATTATTTACTGTCAGCAATTCATCAATTACAAAATATGTACACAACTGGTTTGGATTAAGGGAGTTACGTGATAAATGCCCAAGAGTATATCCACCAAGATGAAGCAACTAGCTTACTGGAAATAGATTCATCATTCTGGCAGAGAGCATCTACAGTCAGTAGTTTCTCATAGCTGAGGGCTCTGTCAAAACATATTGGAAAAAGTAGTCGTCTGACAAAAAATCCAAACTCTAATTTGGCAATAATCCTGTTTATTAAGTCACGTAAAAAACAGTCTTTATGCTATCCTATCCTATTCTAGCCTAGCCTAGCCTATCCCAAGCTTTGTTTGATTCACATTAGATTGACTTAACTGACAGGTTTCTAGATTTCTTTTTTTAAAGGCTACTGTGCACTTCTTATATTAATAATCAGTGGTGAAACCAAAGTCTGTCAGCCACAAACCTTCTAATTATTCAAGTCAGTCAAGAAATGGCTCAAATATCTGTGATTGAACGATTCAAATACCCTGTGATTCTTTTGCAGAAAGCAGCAAATAGATTTTTCTCCCTTCCAATGAAACTCATAAAAACATGGAATGCAGAGACCTACTGTTCGTAACACCAAATCCTTAACACTGTGAGCCTACAAATAAACTAACATGCATAAAATTATTATTTTAATGTAACACTTTTCAGTCACGTTAAGTCATATTTGAAAAGTCTCTGTAACAAACATATCCTCTGCTTTTAAAGTACCTGCCATCTGTTGTTAAGTTAAACAATTTTCAAAATATTAAACATGCTAAAGTCTAAACACTGTACCTAGATATTACTTGACACCAAGTTTCCTACAGATTATGTCCAAGGTTAGGCCTTGCTCCTGCAAAGTTGTACACATTTTAGCCAGCTTAAATCCAGGTCTAAATCTCTGTGGGCTTAGACACCCCCTTTGACATTTTGTCTTGGAAGAAAACATGAAGAGCCTTTCATAGGCATAAACCAGACAGCTGGCTAACAACCAAAACCAGCTTAGACCAGGAAAGACACCAACAGATGCAAAAAGATGAGGGAGTGAAAACGTAATGGAAAAGAAAAGAAACAAAATATTATCTCTGCAAGGGGAAAAGAACCCACTGAGCTGACAAAGACCAGGTGGTAGGTGAGACCATTCTTGAGTCTGGTCATGTAAGTCCTTGTTTGGAAGAAGACTGGAAGTCCGAGGAAAGCCTGAGACAGTGGCCAGAGGCTGATTCAGAGGTTACCCCAGGGTCTGCAATGACTGAGAAAAGTTGTTTGAGCAAGATTTTGTAGAAGGTTGCCCAAAGAGCTCCTGGAAGTCCGGCCTGTCAGCCAAGGTAGGCACATCAGAGACATAACCTCCCTACTTGAGCTCCAAGAGGCAGGATGACTTGCTACCTATGCCAGCCTGGCTCTGGTAAACCCAATCTCCACAGCAATCCACTTAATTAATTTGCAAATCAGCCCTTAACTTTCACAAACCACTTTTATTTATCTGCGCCTGTGTTTTATTTAAAAACCTACCTGAAAAACACCAGGAATATACCAAACCACCACACATGGGTGGCTTGCAGGTGGCAGCTTGAATAAAAAGAATGTAGTACTTGGCTAAAAGATGCTTAAGATGCATGAGAGGAAGTGTAAATACACTTTAAGAATTCACTAGTAGATAAATAATCACAGCTTTTGTACTGAAAGATGAAATGGGCATGTAATTTAGAAAAACTAATTTATTTTCAAAATACGTAATTGTCTTGGAGCTTGAGAGAGTAGAAGATGGTTTCCTAGCAGATGGCTGCATATGTGAGATGAATAGAACCAAAAAAAAATGCATCTGGAACCT